TTGCACTGTTGTTAAGCGTCATGTTATGTAATGTGAAATGAATATAACAATAATTCTTTCTCAAGAAGAGATTATATTCAAAAATATTTGTTCATAATCTGAATTGCAGTTTCAAAGATTGACGCATTCAATCACACAAACACAGTCTTGATTGGTATAGAGATACAGTAAAACAGACATACCATACATTCTTATAGATACATCTAATAAATTAATAACTTATAATATGACAAATTGGCTATAAAAAGCAGCCTTGATTGGTTCTCTTCAAAATGCCGTCTCCGTTCAATTATAATTCAATAACTTTAGTTAAATCAAAGATGAAGACAAGGTTTATTTATTGCTTAGGAATAGCAACACATTTATGTACCATATATCTACATATAGGTACCTTATACATAATATTGAAGAAGTATAGGCATACCACCTGTTTCTGCGGCTTTGCCCACGTAATTAAAGAAACAAATTAGCCTGTATCATTCTCCACATTTCTGTCTCCAGACACAAAAATCATACCATAATATCGTTTTTTTAAGGGGGGAAAACCATCGAATGACAGCTTCCGCCTGAGTGAGGCGGGAGGGAGTGTCAGACTCTTACTGACTAAAAACCACCCCGTTTCTTCTCCTGCACGTCGAGCCGGAGCCCCGGTTACCCATTAGGTTCTCCGCGACTCACCATAATATCGTTAGGACGTATAAGAAAGACAGACTAACAAACACACGTCAGCATATATAACATTAATCTATAATTTATATATACGCATAGGTAGTAAGGACGTATGTATGTAATGTAGGTACGTAGGTGCAGTACAGCAGTGATTCTAAAGGTTGCGCCACTGATAAGCTAACTACTATAAATATCTAATTACTAGATAAAGAGATGCACAAATACATAGCAAGTAGGTATTAATTAATAGATAATTGTTAGAACATTAATTTATATATTTCCGAAGGAATAGACAGTGCTGTATATCATTACGAACGTCAAGGTAAACATTGGACATAAAATCAGTTTTCTCATAGATGTAGGTATTGTACAGATCCTAGTGTGAGAGTATTGATACAATTTGTATGGAGATATCGTATCAAAATTATATCTGGACTTTGCCGGTCATTATAACCGAAAACTTCAAACCTGCTTCATTATCATCAGCCACAAATAAATGTCCACTGAACATAGGTTTGAAGTCTATACTAATGTCTTCGTTGATTAAAAGTATTCCATGTATATTCTAGTCAAAGTCAAAGCATTTATTTCAATTAAACCATAATTTGGTGCTTTTGAAACGTAAATAAATAATAGGCTATCAGTCTGTCCGTCAGTGAAGCTGGGTGCTCATTCCAAAATGTAGATTCGAATGGAGAAGAACGAGCAAGAAACTCCATTCGTCACTCTTTTAAAAAGTCTGTTTTACATACGTTCCTTCATATTACTTACTTAGTCCAAAAACCGACTCACCCCCTATTACATGAGATTTATAACATAAATAGTGAAAAGTGGGTATTAATTACATTGTACAGTAGTTAAGAGCCATAATGTGCACCTCTGCCTACCCCTTCGGGGTTAAAAGGCGTGATGTTATGTTATGTCACAAAACCGAGCAAGCAGCTGTAGCCAAATGCCATTTAGCGCTTGTCTACATGTAGAATAGAAAACCAAATTATATGGAATTGACGTAAATTTTGACACGTGGCAGTGTCATCCCCATACATTTTGATTTCTACTCTCTCTGTAGACAAGCGCTAAAGTGGCGTTTGGCTAAAGGCCCAGGATAGTTAATATTTATAATATAAATATTAATAATCTACAAAATTAATATTCTAGATACTCTGGAATGTGCAGATGTGCGCTAACTAAGTAGTGTCATTGAAGTACAGTCGCGTTGTAGGCTAATGTAACCTAGACACATATTACACGAGTCTCCAGACTGTTAAATAGGCAACAATTTAGCCTGAACATATCATGTTAGCTTGTAAATAACTGGAGCTAATATATTTGTATAATCTGAAGTTTAACGTTGCCCCACACTTGGATTTTCTCCTGTGTCGTGGGTGCGTTTACAATCATAAAAAGTTCACATACACAATGACACCCAGACCTGGAACAACAATCTATGGATCATATAAAGAGGTTAAAGTAACATATAATATTGAAGTAACATCATGGAGTAGGTAGATTCTTCGAAGGGATAGGACTACTTTGTACTTTTAGCTAGTTGTATTATAAGTCCCTTTACTATACAATCGAATGAAGATCTTACTAAAAATGGCGGACTTAGCATAAAATTGCATTCCACTATTGCAACTATATAGGCATTTTACCCACAATTATGTATGTCAAAAAGCATTTGATTCCTACAAAGTAACCACGTTTAATGTCGTGGTGGCCCGGAGGCTTAAGACGGCCGCTTCTCATGCATGCATGGGCTTGAAACCTACCAACGGCAAGTACCAATGTGACTTTTTTCTAGTTATATGTACTTTTTAAGATTATTTAGACACCACTGACAAACGGTGAAAGAAAACATCGTGAGGAAACCTGGGCAAATCCGCATTGAGCAAGCGTGATTGTGGGTGATTAATGCTTACACCTTCTCCGTTCGTTCTTCTAAGCAGTACGCATTTGTGGGCCGTTGATGATGATGATGATGATGATCACGATTTTTATAAAAAAAAAATATGGCGGTAATGAACCAGTTTGATATAGATAATGTAAGCACTCAGGTACCACAAGACACGAACAAGAATAATTTTGGTTACATTAAATATTAAGTGACAAATTACTTGCCTGTAACCTGCGAACACGACTGGAACTCGCATAATTTAATATTAAATCAATATTATCACCGATCTATATATGTAGTAGTATTCATATTATCAACAAGCTAAGGATTTAAGTATCATGTACTCAGAAGACGGATAACATACACTTGATTTTTCTAATCCCTATTTACGTTAGGGCATACGCTTTCGCGGAAGAATAATTCATCACACGCTTTTAGAGAAGAACAAACATTACCAGCAATAAGTACTTTAACAGGACAGTCAGTTTTATTTGAAATGAAAGACCAATATCAAATAAAATCACCACCAAGACTTCATGGTCCCCAATCAAAAGGGCTACCAGTCAACTATTATGAAACAGCTTCGCAAGTGAAGCCGTTAGAGAAATACCAAGTCTTTTATTACGACGTTTAATTAGTAAAATACCAATAGATTATAGCTTGAGGGATTTATAAATCATACATTATTACATTACCGGTTTTCCTTATAAATCTAACGCATTAGATGCATTCCGATAGCTTCGTCATGCAAGCAAAGAATGTTGAGTGAAGACATAAATGTCCAAAGTATTTTAGCAACGCAGGTTTGGTTATTTTACTAATTAAACTGTTCAATTTGGAAAACTGGTAGCATTCTGATACAACAACTTTTATGTCTAACACATGTTTTTTTTAATTTAAATAGACCTAAATAAAAGTTCATTACTTAAGCTCACTCACTCACTTAATTGTTCGACTAATTTCAAACTAGGCCTGGAGCCCATAATGCTATTATTGCTAACAATTTACATTAAAAAATACCAGAATCGGTCCAACGACTTTTATAAATTAGACTTTACTTATAGATGATTTCCAAAATCATTATTTTAAATGAACTTTTATAGGTTGTAACAACCCAACTTCTACTACTGCTATTATTACTCAATAACTAATAAAAATACGAAAAATATACCAAACAACGTACAGTAATGTAGGGAAAACAATTCTATCAAAAAAATCTCAGCTTTAAATACTTGGAACCACTATGATTCATTGGTTCAAAGTCGGACTGTCGCGTCTGAGTTTACAAACAGTTCTCACACGTAGTACCGGCCCGGAATTATTACTGGGTCATACAAATATTTGTTCCGGGTGGAGAACAAATGATGTCATAGAGGAAACTGAATTTCTCTGCGCTTCCCTATGGTTGACTGTCAAAGAAGGCCTTAAGGCATTACGTCCGATTATTTTCCCATTCACGATATTTATATATAAATAAAAAAAATACTGGTCATTGGTCAAGTCACACTTCTTGTTGAAAAGACTTAACAAGATCGTAATATAAACTACCATTTAGGTACTCACGAATTCACGTAGAACTTTCGTAAAGCCCTTTGTATGGTTAGTTTTTTTTAAGAGGGGTAAATCATCCAATGACTTCTCCCGCCCGGGTGAGGCGAGAAGGACTATCAAACTCTTACTAACTAAAAACTACCCCGTTCCCACTCTTGCTTTGAGCCGAAGCCCCGGTAACCCGTTAGGTTGTTTATTCTTCTCGTCTGAACTGCTAATCCAATAACGATAAATATTGATGTTAAGGTCCATGGAACTCTAGAAGGTTATTTACCTACTATTTTTTGTAATAGTAAAACTAGATTAGAAAGACGTCTATCTACTTCCATAATCTACTTCCAAATGACAACCAGATCTGCCGGTGTCCAAAATATCAACTATATGCATAGATGCGTCAAAATCCTAAGAAAAACTATAAGCCTAATTCGATCGATTGTTGTTGTATGCAAGCAATCAAGCCGATATAATGTGATTGCTTATCAAATGTGTAATACCTCAACGCCATAATCGTAATATTTCGTTTATAAATATTAGCTTAGGGACAGAATTAATCGATTGATGAGATAAACGAAAATTACATCATAGATAACTTTGCCATGCTCTTTATAAATTTGTAGTTACTTATTATAGAACTGTGAACTGTGGTTGATCCCTGAATTTACAACTCTATAGATACATACATATACAGACATATTATGTGCCAGAATAAGTGAATTATTTTAATACTCACATATAACTCCTAACAAAGATTCTAGTCTAAACTATGATAATTCTCAACCATCAAATTATTTCATTTTAAACATAAGTATTTTAGCATATTACAAAACATGTCAAAATAAGATGCCACGAAGCAACAAGAAATATTCCTATTTTTTATTTACAGGTGCAGTGACGAGATTGAAAGGAAGATGGCGGCGCATGAGCTACGCCGGTGCAGAAGACGAGGAGACTGCGCATACGCATCCGACCACTTAGAAACGACTGAAGAATACAAAATACAAAAACAATAACGAATACTACACCCTCTAACGCTAACTAACAATATGAGAAATTACAGTCACATAAAAAATAAATCTTAAAACCGAAAGATATTATTAATGAAAATTCTATTATTAAATCCAATCAAAGTAAATAAACAAAACAAAATGTCATTAGCTGGATTTGTAGAACAACGTATAATTATATCTTTCTCTTGCCTACTCAAACCATGACAGCGGGTTCGACTCCTGCCCTCTTCAAGCCTACAGACCTGTTATTGGTATAATAGATGTCGTGTTTTCTTTTTTACAGGTGGTCTGATCCAAAAATAGAACAACGAACTTCGCTGAACAACTGAAACAATGGCTGACAACTGGTCGTGGAAAATATATTAAATTAAATAAACAAACTATATAATATCAATATTAGGTTTAAACACACCTAAGTAAATTAATAAAAAATTGTATGAATGCTCACATACGTACCTAAATAACACACAATTCATTATAAAAAATTGTTAAGAGTAGGACTATATAACAAGAATTAAATATGAATCAAGCAATAACCTTATAATAATGGAGAACAGTTAAAACAAGATGTTTGCCTCAATTTTATGTAAATCGTTCTAGAACGTCTATACATTTAACACAGGCTTTCATTTTTTACAACACAAGACCTTTCCTGATACGCGGTTTTTCCTATTGCGAGGTTTTCCTGCTTTGAGGTTTTCAAGATAGAAGAATGGGTCTTCTGTAAGGTAGACCGCGTTGGCAGTGTGGTTAGCTGGTTGTTTAAATTGCTACAACAGCCAGTAACGACACTGCCTCCGCGTGCAACCTAAATGCAACCACTTAGAAGAACACAAGAAAGAAGAACGGTTATTATGTACTTTATTATTTTCATGATAGGGCTGCTTTTTGTGTCACAGAGAGAATGTAGAAATTAGTGAGATAATTTATTTTAATATTATTACATTGTAACTGCATAACTCTTGAGAGAACGTGTAGCATCGTTGTGCATTACCAAAATATATAATAGATACCTACCTATGTAAAAGTTAAAAATAATCTGAACATCTAATTTGTTAGATGTTTACTCTTTGAAATAAAATAACTAATAGACTCCGTAAAACAAGATTTTACACTAAAATGTCTAAAGTCTCATTATTATCATCAGCTTGTGTTCATCCACTGCTGGACATAGGCCCCTTCAATGGCACGCCACTGAGTTTGGTCTTCAGCTCTTCTCATCCAACCACTGCCATCCACCTTGCCGATGTCGTCACTTCACCTAGCTGGAGGGTACCCTACACCGCGGTCTCCACTCTAAAACTAGTTTACCAAAATGGTTTTTTGGTTCTTCGACAAATGTCACCGGCCCACTGCCACTTCAGCTTACTAATCCTTTGAGCTATGTCGATAACTTCAGTACTCAAATACCTCATTTTAACTCGTTGAGTAATAATGACGGCATTATAGACACAATTAAAGAACAATAGGTTGCGGTCACCGGTGTCCTCGCGGTGTTTGACAGTTTACAATAATAAGTAAACAATTAAAAATAGTTTAACTGGTTATTTTATACATAATATTATATTGCAGAGTTTGTTAGTTATTTCTTCTGTTATTATACTTATGTACTGTGTTACCAATAATAGCGAGACTGAAATAAATTCACACCTTTGTCAGGTGCATTCGGATTGTTGCCAACTCGCCTGCGCGTGCTGCATCGTCATAATGTGCTTATATACATACCTACTTAATGTATTATGTATATATTTATGTATAAACTTGTACTTATTTATGGAGAATGTTCACGATTTTAGAAAAATGCATAACAAGCTCTCGATGTTACGAATAGACTTAGTTTTGTCGTACAATCAAAACTGGCCGAATCATTAGCGTCTAAATGCGTTTTGATGACTAGAATTTTCATACAAAATTAAAATTGAACCTCGACGTCGTAGTACAACGTCCCATATATTGTATTTTTTTATAAAGGTATCTAAAGATAAATAGTCATTTTTAATTAAGCTATTTGAAAATACAAATGCGTTGTTACTTTCTTAATCTACGTCATAGTAACATTCTCCATTATGAATGGATTCCTAATTTCATGAGACACATCTTTACGTTATTATTAACAGTGAGTGCTTCTTATGACTCTTTATGAGTTGAATATTATTGTACACACGGCTACACATCAAGCTTTACATAACCAGTATAAACTGAACGTTGAATGTGCGGAAAGATGATGCGACGCGATACCAGGATAAACTGGTTTTGTATAGATTGATGTGTGGCCGTCTGTACCTAACTGATGAGGAAACGTTGTTAATCTGTGTAATGAAATGTAAATAAATATAATAATAATATGTGGTAAATAATTATTAGGCATGTATGTATTTTCTGTAGAAGGTTCAAAACTAATACCCAATTACCAAGAAGTAACATTTTACAAAGAAAATTGTTCGCTTTGTAAATTATTGCGTATTATTATTATTACCTATGTGTATTTTATTGTGTCCAACAAATAAAAATGTTCAATCAACTTGATTGTTACGGATAATTTTTGTAGATATAATGAATAGTTTTATATATTGTACCTAATATAAAAATAAATACATGTTTTCAAATAAATTGTCATAACAGAAATAATTTGTTTTATTTTGTCCCTTACACAAATAGATACTATCACATAAATAAATAAAAGGTACACAAAGGTCAAAGGCTTTAAGGACTTTAGTGGTTAAAAACCACTATTGGTCACTCAATAACTTTTAATTCGAAAGATTGAAGTGAGCTCGATCGCATTCGCGCCCGTCATTGGTTAAGATTATTCACAACCAATGACATGGTTAAACACGATCAAGATCGCTTCAATCTTTTGAATTTAAAGAATTGAAAGTCACAGACAAGCCAATCAGTAGGTGGATAGTCTGCTTGTCAAAAACACTATCTGAACACTGACTCCGAGCAATCATACATACATATGTAGGTACTTTGATTAACACATAGGAGACTTATTTCATAACTAATAGCAATTTTAAATACATACCTAGTTTCACTGACAGACAGACTGACGGACAATGCAATTTTAAACGTTTCAAAAGTGCCTAATTAAGATGTAATTGAAATATAAATGTTTGACTTTGACTTTGATAATCCTTATCCTCAACATTTCAGCCATCATTAAAGCCAAGGATGGACTAGGGAACAAATGTCGCTGGCGACATGCGTCACCAGCGACGTCGGATGAAGTAGCGTAACGTTGCCGGACTTTGGTCGATATATCTGGCAACATCAACGTCATTGTGGACATAAGTTGCGCGTTGTCATCGTATAAGTCAGGCAACGTTGGCCGGCTTCGCTCGACATGTCACCGATACATACATACATAACTTCACGCCTGTCTCCCATGGGGGTAGGCAGAGACTAAGGAACGCGATACATGTCTTGGAAAATTTGTCCCCTTGTGTTTCTTTAACCACAAAACAATCTCACAGCATCTCACCTTGTGGACTGTCAATAAAGTCTTTAATAGATATTAAAAAACCCGACAGTCACTATCAATGACTAAAACAGTGCAAATGCAACTATCCGTCTAGACATGCAAGGATATCGAAAGTTTAGGTACCTAGTTATGAAATCTAGAACCTAATATTGGCAGTCGATTCTCGCAAATTATTTTAAATACGTAGTGAACTGCTCATAGGCCTTTAATCATTTAGGTTCACATAGTTCACTTTTCACATAATTATGTAGGTACGAATAAACAGTAAATTACTATTTTAGAAATATTTACCCAGGTAAATAGATCAATTTATGTCTTTTAATCCCCAAGTGCATATGCAGGGAGACACATAACTAGGTGTGCTTACAATGTATCTGACACGTACCCAAACCATTGGAAACATAAATCCCTCTCCATCATTGTAAAGGCATTGATTTATTACAGTCATTGACACAGATGATTAGCTAAAGCAGTAAAGTTAACTGTAGTGTTTAATAATCCTAATTGAAATACATAGTATAATTCTCGAAAGTTCCCCTCGGTTACCCTAGAATTCCATCATCAGATCCTGACCTCATGGAAATGGGACATTTTAGGGAGTATAACCTTTCAAAAAAAACAAGAATTTTGGAAATCGGTTCACAAATGGTGGAGTAATCGGTGAACAAACAAATCATCCGAACATAGTGTAGTAGTATCCTTTTTTTGAAGTCAATAAAAAGCTAATCAAAATTACAAATAAGTTATTTCTTCTCAATAGCCCTCCTATTGTTTTGACAGTTAAATCAATAAGTATTTGAGTACCTGTTTACATTTTACCACTTAAACCCACCTATACAGAAACAAGACAACACAGTATAGAGCCTAATTAATTATGTACTTAATTGGTACTTACTACCGCAGTAAAATAAATCATTCCTTCTCATAAAACCAGTCGAATAAAACCGCTACAGAAAACCGTAACTATATATAAGCAGTCAGTACCTAATTGATTTCTTCATGAGTATATCTGATCTGATTAAATAATTATAAGACCCAAGAACACAACTGTCGACATAATAGTAAATGCATACAACGCAATCTGAATAAATATGAAGTCTGAAGTGTGTTGTAATTTATCAATTAATAAACAAACACTCGAACGCGCTGGTTACTGCTACCGATAATATAATTCTACGCGTCGTGATCAACATACGAAGCTCACTGACATACTAAAAGTAAAAGGAATTGAAGAAAGCCATCTGAGGCCTTAGTTCGAGTTTGTTTTTGTAATTTGTGTATGCGTTCGTCGTTCTGATTGGCCGGTCCCAATGAACCAACCAATCAGAGCACAGAAGATGGTCTCGTTTTGATTACTTTTAACATAAAAAGTCGTACTAAGCCCTCTTATCCTTTGCTGGATGCAGCGTACGGTTCACTTTCATCGTCTACAACGCTTTCGTTTTTAAAATAATTATACGCACATGTCTACTTACTCATTTCCATATTTATGGCACTACCTATTACCTGCGGTTTGGAGCGCGTCGTCAAAGAATAAAAATATCCTACGTCATTCCCCAACGTCGAAGGCTGACTCTCTAGACGCAAAAATCATACCATAGAATCGATTCTTTGCGATGTGAAAGAAAAATAACCAAACACAATTTCGCATTTAGATGTAAAACGGGGTGAATATATACGAGAATGGGCTGAATAGATACTATGAAGAATCCCCTTAATATCTATTCACCTCTCTTCTACCTCAATTCATCCCGTTTTACCCGGCACCTAATATTAGTAAAAATACTGAAGAAGTGAGGATGTTATAACAGGGAAAATATCTAAGTAAGTAAGTATAATATTCCCTGTTTGGATGGTGTTCCTATCAGTTAAGGTAACAATCTTATACAGGCTGATTTGTAATAGTAATGCGACCATAATCTCATATGGGATTATAGAACAGATAATAGATTATGGTCGAATTACAAATCACCTGTATAAAAACATTCAAAGTTATACCCACAACAGTACCCACACAAGGCAGACTTCCATTTTACTACCGCTAAGTTTAGAAAATGTTAAAAAGGTATTTCCCACATTTAATTAGCAAAATCTATTTCAATGGCGAACGGTGTGAAATCGGAATTAGCACGACGCGACTTGGCGGTGCTTTCGCCTCTATAACTAGGTGGGCTCAATAAAAAACGAACAATATGAACGGTAGCAATTATCCATAAAAGTGGAGAAGCTAAATAGCGTGCAATTAGAGAGGGCTGACGTTCAACAATTTTAAGTTGGTAATCACCGACAAGACACCCTTATTATTTAGGTAGTACCTACTAGTTAGGTACACATTTAAACGTCTGTCCACGTAAATCTGTGTTAGATAGAGTACAATATTTGTACTTTTATGACCATCTCTACTCTTCCCGTCGTCAGTGACGTCAGCGCCAACTAACACATTAGGACTACGCATTTCACAGAGACCAGACAGCTCTCTATGACAGACACAAGTCTAGACTTCTTATGGAGCCGCGGAGGACTTAACGGGTTGCCGGGGCTCCGGCTCGAAGGGCAGGAGTAGGAACGGGGTGGTTTTTAGTTAGTAAGAGTCTGACACTCCATCCCGCCTCACCCAGGCGGGAGCAGTCATTCGATGATTTTCTCCCTTTAAAAAAAGACTTCTTATGGAAATCCTTAAACAAGTAAGCAACCCAAAGAGATCACGATAGTATTTACCGCTCCGGATAAACGTAGGTAAGCTCCGGCACATAAAAAAATAGCTGAAATAAAAATAGGAGTCAAAATTAAACAGCAGCAGTACAGCAATAAGATTGACAGTACGTTAACCCGTATCCGTCGTTTGCAAGAACGTAGATCACAGACAAAATGTATAGTCTATCGATTCTCATAAGTTAAGAGCTTAA